TTTTTCCCCTTTTGGGTTTTTTTTTTAAATTTAGTATATTATTTCCCCCAATTACATGTAAAACCAATTTTCAGCATTTGTTTTTAAAATTGCATTCTAAATTTCCCCCCTGTCTCTCCACCTCCCTCACTGAGAAGACAAACAATTTTATTCAGGTTATACATGTGTAGTCATGCAAAACATATTTCTATTTTAGTCATGTTGTAAAAAACAAAAAAAAACAAAAACAAGAACAAAAAAAGGTAGACCAAAATTTTTTAAAAAAAGAAAGATACAATAAAAAGAAAAAATGTATGCTTTGATTTGTATTCAGACTCCATTAGTTCTTTCTCTGCAGATGGATGACATTTTCCAACATAAGGCCTCCAAAGTTTTCTTGGATCATTGTATTGCTGAGAACAGCTAAGTCATTCACAGTTGATCATCTTAAAATATTGCTGTTATTCTGTACAATTTTCTCCTAGTTCTCCTCATTTGTTTCACTCTGCATCAGTTTATGTAAGTCTTTCCAGGTTTTTCTGAGAACATTTAGCTTATCATTTTTTATAGCACAACAGTATTCCATCACAATCACATACTACAGTTTGTCCAGTCATTCCCCAATTGATGGGCAACCCCATAATTTCTAATGCTTTTCTGCAAGAAAAGAGCTGCTGTAAATATTTTTATACATATAGGTCTTTTCCTTTTTTTTTATATCTTTCTTGGGATATGGTTTTGAAACAAGTTTCTCTGATAAAGTCCTCATATCTCAAATATATAGAGAAATGAGTCAAATTTATGGGAAGAAGAGACATTGTCCAATTGATAAAATATGAACAGTTTTCCTATGAAGTTATTAAAGCTGTCTATAGCCATATGAGAAAATTCTATAAATGCAAATTAAAACAATTCTGAGGTACCACCTCACAACTATTAGATTGGCTAATATGATAGAAAAGGAATACGATAAATGTTGGAGGGGAGGTGGGAAAATTGGGACACTAATGCATTGTTGGTGGAGTTGTGAACTGATCCAACCATTCTGGAGAGCAACTTGGAACTATGCTCAAAGGGCTATAAAACTGTTAGCAATACCCTTTGACTAAACAATACCACTACCAGGTCTGTATCCCAAAGAGATTTTTTAAAAAAGGAAAAATACATGGATGTACAAAAGTACAAAAATATTTATAATAGCTCTTATTTTTTGGTGGCAAAGAATTGGAAAATGAGGGGATGTCCTTCAATTGGGGAATGGCTAAACAAGTTCTAGCATGTGATTGAGATGGAATATTATTGTGCAATGAGAAATGATGAGCAGGATGCTTTCAGAAAAATTTGGAAAGGTTTAACTGAACTGATGCAAAGTGAAGTAAGCAGAACCAGGAGAACATTTTACATGGTAACAGAAATATTGTGCTATGATGATCAACTATGAATGACTTAGCTATTCTCAGCAATATAAAGATCTAAGACATTTCCAAAGGACTTATGAAAGAATGCTATATACTTCCAGAGAAAGAACTGATGGAGTATGAATGCAGATCCAGGCATACTAGTTTTTTACTTTCTTTATTTTGTATTTTTTTTTGTAGCTAATATAGAAATATGTTTTGCATGACTGCATACACACACACACATACATATATGTATATACACACACACACACATACCTATATCAAATTTCTTGCCTTCTTAATGAGGGGGGAGGGAAATAATTCATTGTAAAAGATGAATGCTAAAATTGTTTTTGTATGCAGTCAGAAAAAATAAAATATTAATTAAAAATAAAGGCATGAGACTGGGTGGTCTTTAAGGTTCATTTGTAGTTTTAGAATGTATGATCCCTTGAATCCTTTTGCTTTCATTCCTCATCTGTAAAAAGGGCTTGGACTAAACAGCCTAGAAGATTTCTTCCTGTTTTAAATCTGTGATCCCATGATTTTTATGACCCCTATTGCTCCCTGGGATACTGTGAAATAGTCCGAAAATACATATATATATATATATATATATATATATATATATATATATGTATATTTATATCTACATATATATAATACCCACTATTTTATTATACGTTATTTGCAATATAATATGGCATATTTGTGTTATATATACTATAGAATGCATAATATATTATAATAATTATATTATATTATATAACTATATTTATGTATAATATATAATAATGGCTGGTGGTACAGTGGATAGAGTACTGGGCCTGGAGTCAGGAAGATCTGAGCTCAAATTCAGTCTCAGACACTTACTGTGTGACCCTAGGCAAGTCTCTGAAACCCTATTTGACTTAGTTTCCTCATCTATAAAATGAGGATAATAATAGTATCTACCTCCCAGTATGGTTGTGAGGATCAGATGATATAATAATTATAAAGCTCTCAGCACAGTGTCCGGGACATAGGAAGCACTATATAAATGCTAGCTATCATTATATATACTCATATATTAAAAAGAAATGCTGATGATATAAGATATGCAATAATTACAACTAAAGAACAAATATGCATGTACAATCTCTCCTTGTCAGAGATGAGTGCATTTTAGGAGTGGAAAGTAAGGGCAGCTAGGTGGTACAGTGGATAGAGCACTGGCCCTGGATTCAGGAGGACCTGAGTTCAAATCTAGCCTTGGACATATAACATTTACTATCCGTGTGACCCTGGGCAAGTCACTTAAACCCATTGCCAAGGCAAAAAAAAAGGGAGTGGAAAGCAATAGAAATATGTTCTTGGAGTTGGGTTAGGTGATTCTAAGAAAATTTTTATTCCTAAACAAGCTATGATTCTAGGTGTATGGCATAAGTAAAACAAAGAGTATCCATGGAGGTACAGCATTCGTGGGACTGAGAGAGAACACATTATATCTCTAATTGATCTTGTAAAACTTCCTGTTTTATGACAGTAGAGTTTGACAAACTGACCAAATGAGGGAAAGTGACCAGGTGGACTGACAAAGAAGACAGGCCATGCAACTATAGAGAAGACAAGGGTGGGGGAAAGGAGTACCTTGAGTGAAGGACATTGAGTCTAAGACATTTGTAAATCAATTGGAGCAAGAAGAGATAACTTAGAGGGAACATGATAGTTACATTTAAACATTGAAGGGCTGTAATGTGCAAGAGGGATTAGCCTTGCTACTCCTGAACCTTTGGTCTATCAGACCAAGTAAGCAATGGTAGAAGTTTACCATATTGGTTTTATGGCAGCAAAAATATTTCTAAGCAGTTAGAGGTATTTTTTAAGAAAAGGGAATGGGCTTATTCAAGAGTTTGTGGATTTTTCTTTGAAGGGGGTCTTTAAGCAGAGCCTAGGAGATCTCTTACTGAGTACGTCTGAGCCAGAACTAGTCAATTCCTATTTCTTTGTTCACCTTTTGTGCAATCCTCCTTCCCCTGTAGGATATTCCCTGATGATCAGCAAGCTTCTAAATCCCCATTAGGGGATCTGGGGAGTCCTCAGAGAACATATATGTTTGGGTGGCAACTGATATAAGCTCCAAGTGGGTCTAGAGATGTATGAGGAGATTTTGCTAACATATGGAAATGTAGCTTAGGCCCCCAAGAACAAGAATTTATGGGATTATGCCCCAGGTGCACCTTCTACACCTAGTAGTAGTGGTGGTCAAAGCCAAGGAGGTGTTGGAATGAGCAGAAAATGGGAGGTCAGGCTCCTGCAGGTAAGCAGAGAGGCCTCCCCCAGACTAGCTCTAATGGAAACCATGGCAAACTCTTTAGAGCAGTGTTTCCCAAACTAATTTGACCTTGGAACACTTTGGGGCTTGAAGTACACTGATAGAACTAGAAATTTTGGTCTGGGAAAACTGGATACATGGCATATTTATTGGAGTAAGGGGTGGGGTTAGGAAAATTTCAGAGCAAAACAGAAGAAATTGAATCTATTTTTGTAGTAAAAATACTGCTCAATTTTGTTTATCCATACATAATTTCATATTTGGTGTTTTTGGAGGGTACTATGAAAAGCATAACGGTGTTTTCATGAGCTCCCCATCCTATCATATGGAACACCAGTGTCATAGAATCTCAGCTTGAGAGAGACCTTACAGATGATCTGGCCCAGCCACATCATTTTATAAATAAAAAACCCAAGCCTAGAGAGGTGCTTAAGGTTACACAAATACTAAAACAATGAGGTTTCTAATCCAGGTTATCTGTCTCCAAATTCAGTGATCTTTCCACTGTGTCTTACTGGCTTTTGACACAGCATGGAAAATGCTTATTCTAGAGGCAGCAGAGTCTGATTACTGGGGTACTGATTTGGGGAGTCAGCAGGTCTACACTCTCAGCCAATTTGGGCCCTGGAGCCCCCTCAGAGCCTTCAGGTATTCTCTTTGTAACAGGAAGCAAGGGGGATAGTGATCTCGGCATCTCCCCCTCCCCTTATTCCCTCATTCCTCCCAAAGAGAATAAAAGAAAGAGGCTCCAAAAGTAGCAAACTCTATGGCATTGCAATGTATTTTGGCTGTGATGATGAATGGTCTCTTGTATTGAGTCTGTGGGTGTCTAGAGAAGCAGAAGGGTACAAAGGATATTGTTGTTGTTGTTGTTATTAAATTGGAACGAGGAGTCCTGTTTCTTTTTCCAAATACCTTTATGACCTTGGGTAAGTCACTGTCTGGATCTGTTTTCTCTTCTGCAAATGAAGGAGTTGGGTTAGGTGATTCTAAGAAAATTTTTATTCCTAAACAAGCTATGATTCTAGGTGTATGGCATAAGCCCATTTGTGTGTGTCTCTGCATTTGTGTAAATAAGTTTTGAGTACAGCTATATGCTTATTTGTTTTACATAAAAAAATAGTACCCTAAGTTTTGGCTAATGTTTTAGAGCCAGGTCTTCATCCCTAGGACTCTGCAGGCTGTGGGAAGAAAGACTCCCCAATTTCCTCTCACAGTGAGCCCTAGCTTCATTGAAGGTAGGTATCCCTTACAGTGTACAGAGTCATATGCACTCTGAGCAAAGCCTGATCTTCCTTGAGCTCAGCATGGGACTGTGCAATGAAACCACTTGGAGGGACTTTGTCTTCTTGGGCTTCTCCAGCTTTGGGAAACTGCAGTTCCTTCTCTTTGTCATTTTCTTCTTCCTCTACCTCATCACCCTGATCAGCAATGTCTTCATCATTGTCATTATCTGGCTGGACAGTCACCTTCACACCCCCATGTACCTTTTCCTCTCTGTCCTCTCCTTCTCTGAAACCTGTTACACTCTGGGGATCATCCCCAAGATGCTTTCAAATCTGGCAGTTGGGAGCCAGGCCATTTCCTACATGGGTTGTGCTATCCAGATGGACTTCTCTGCCTCCTGGGCCTGCACTAATTGCTTCCTCCTGGCAGTGATGGGCTTTGACAGGTATGTGGCCATCTGTGCCCCGCTCCACTATGCTAGCCGTATGCACCCCACTCTCTGCACCCAACTAGTTGGCACGTCTTTCCTTAGTGGTTATCTCATAGGGATGGGGATGACACTGGTTATCTTCCGCCTCCCATTCTGTGGCTCCCATGAAATACACCACTTCTTCTGTGACACCCCCCCAGTGCTGAGCCTGGCCTGTGGAGACACTGGCATGAGTGAGCTGGGGATCCTTATCCTCAGCCTTCTGGTCCTCCTGGTCTCTTTTGTACTCATAACCATCTCCTATGCCAACATCTTAGTGACCATTCTGAGAATACCCTCAGCAAAGGGGAAACAAAAGGCCTTCTCCACCTGTGCATCCCACCTCACTGTGGTTATTGTGCATTATGGCTGTGCTTCTTTCATGTACCTTCGGCCCAAGGCTAGCTATTCCCTGGAGCATGATCAACTCATTGCAGTCACCTATACTGTAGTGACCCCACTCCTCAACCCCATTGTTTATAGCCTGAGGAACCGGGCTGTGCAGGCTGCCTTTAAGAATGCCCTCCAGGGGAAACTTCTGGGGAAAAGATGAGGGCAAGGAAGGCAGCCTAATGTAGTAGACAGAAGGCCAAAGATGGAGTAGAATGTAAGCTTCTTTAAGGCAGGCACTGTTTTTATTCTTCTTTGTACCCCCAAAGCTGTGTACATTCTAAGTATTTTAAAATGTTTGTTGAATGGAATTAATGAATCTGAATCCCAGTAATGAGAATTGATTTCTATGTGGCCATGGGTATCTAACTTCTGTGTTCTCACTTTCCTCATCTGTAAAATGGTGATAAAAATACTTGCACAGGGGTGATGTGAGAAAAAGCTTTGTAAACATTAAAATGATAGAGAATTGTAAGCTATTATTATGGAAAGCCCGAGCAAGATCATTTTCTCCTAAGGCTGGGCACATCTTCAAGATATAAGCCATTGAATTGTCTGGGACTCAGGCAATCACTGTTTTGCTTCCCACTCACTCTAAAGGAGAATGGATTCCTCCCCTGACTGTCTTTCTAAACTCTTGGAGTCTGTTTGGAGGCAGTGTGCTGCAGAAGAAAGAACATTAGATCTGGAGTCAGAACACCTGGATTTGAGTCTGGGCACTACCATCCACCACCTGTGTGACCTTGGGCAAATTGCTTAACTCTCTGGGCTATAGTTTCCTCTTTATAAAATGAAGGATCAGAATAAATGATTTCTAAGAAAGTCCTTTCCTATTCTAAATGGATGATCCCATGACCTGGAATGGAAAAAAGGCAAGCTGCCTATATAGTCATTGCCTATGATAAAATTCTAGCTCTGACACTAACCAACTGGTTGACCAGGGGCAAATTACTTAAACTTTGAACTCTGTTTCCTCACATGTAGAATGGAGATGATAATGACTGTAGCACCCAAGGCAGAGTTGTGAGGATTAAATGAGAGATGTATGTATAGTGCTTTGAAAATCATAAAGCATAAAATACGTCTTGGTTATTATTATTCACTTTAATTTTCAGTTTCAGCCACATATTACCTCTCTGGACTTCCATTTCCTTATACATGAAATGAGGGGAAAGGATAAAATAATCTCTAAGGTGCTTTCTAGCTCTACTCTGATAATTTGATTCTCTGTGGATTCTACTCCTGTTTCATGTGTCATGCTGAGGTGTATAGGAGATAATAATCTCTCTATCCAACTCCACTCATCTGCTTTCCAATACCTTTTCACTTTCAGCCCCATTCCTATGATGAATACCCACTCACTGTCACTGAGTTGATTCTTGGAAGGGAAGATTGCTACCCTGGAAGTGCTTAGTTCCCAATACTCCTCTAGCTACCTCCTCAATCTGGGTTTCAAGACACTTATTGAAGCATTTTTTAAATGAAGTTTTATTTTTTTCCATTTTTTATTTTAGAATTAAATACATTATTTGTTCTTTTTTCCCCTTCCTCCCCCCACCAGAAGACTACAATTAAGCATGGATATATTTATATATAGATATAGATATGTATATACACATATATATATAGACACATACATACATATATATATATATATATATATATATATATATATATATATATATATATATATACATATACTTTCCCTAACAAAATCTTCTCCTGATCTCTGTTTTTATGTTTGTGTGTATCTCTTATTTCCTACTCCTCCTGACTCCTACTTTACTTCTACCTGCTACCTTGCTCTCCTATTACTTGACCTAACCCCCACCCCCAGGATCCCTACCTTTTCCTCCCATTCCCATGGATCTAAACCCCCTTTATATCACTCTTTGACCTATTCCTTCACCCTCCTCTCTAAAGATTCCTCCCCTATCCTCCCAAGATCCCTCCTTTACTCTCCCATTCTCATTAATCTAAACACCCTTCTATGCCTCCCTTTAGCTTGTTCCCTCTCCCTCCCTTCTAGATATCCCTCCCTTATCCTCTCTTCCTTCAGTATCCCTTTAGCATTTTATTACTTTCTGAATTTAGAAGGCTTTTATACTCTTAGATTTATATGTATTATTCCTTCTTGAATCCATTCCCGATGAAAGTAGGTTTCCAGAACTAAAAGCCCTCCTCCTTTGTCTAATTCCTCTGTATTGGTTCTTCCCCTTGTACCTCATTTGTATAAGATAATTACCCTTTTTAGTTGTTTCTAAACAGTTTTACTTTTTAAAGTCATATCATACGCAGGTCTATATCAATCTTTCTTATGAACTACCCAATTACTAATAACAATCTTAGACATATGTTTTACACTTTACATACGTGAAAGGTAAACAGTCTGTCCTTATTGAGTCTGTTGTAACTAGTTTTTGGTATGTACCTTATATTTCTCTTGTTTATTATATGTCACATCGTCTATTCAGTTTTTTTTAAATAAAGTCCTGAAAGTCTGACAGTTCATTAAATGTCCATTTTTTTTTATTCAGGATTATGCTTAGCTTTGCTGCGTACGATATTTTTGGCAAGAACCCCAGTTCTTTTGCTCTTCAATATACAGTGTTCCAAGACCTGTTGTCTTTCAGGGTCACTGCTGCTAGTTGTTGTGTGATTCTAATTGTGGCACCACCAAGTTTAAATTACTTTTTTCTTGTTGCTTATAATATTTTATTCTTGAGTTGGAGGTTTCAAAATTTGACTATAATATTCTTGTGGGTTTTCCTAATAGGATCTCTTTCAGGATCTCTTTCAGGTGGTGATTGGTGAATTTTTCCCTATTCCTACTTTCTCCTCTTGTTCTAATGCTTTAGGACAATTTTCTTTAATTATTTATTGTGTTATTGTGTTGAGATTTTTTTTTTATCACAGCATTCAGGTAGTCCAATTATTCTTATGATTTCTATTCTTGATCTGTTCTCAAGATCAGTTGTTTTTCTTATGAGATGTTTCACATTCTCTTCTATTTTTTTCATTCTTTATATTTTGTTTTATTATTTCTTGATCTCTTGTAACTTTTCTGGCTTCCCCTTGCCCACTTCTGATTTTCAAGGAGTCATTTTCTTAAGATTCTAAATCTCTTTTTCTAATATGTTGACTTTTTTTTTTCATAATCTTGTGTTTCTTGTATTCTTTTTTTTGGTTTTTCCTCAGTCTCTTGAATTTGATTTTTGAAGCCTTTTTAAAAATTCTTCTATTAATTCTTTTTGGTTAGGTGACCATTTGACATTACTTTTTGGGGTAGAAGATGGTTTCTTCACTTCAGGATTTTCCTCTGAAGATTAACCTTGGTTTTATTTATTTCCATAGTAACTCTCTATTGTTAGATTCTTTCTCCTTTGGCTGTGTACTCTTTAAAATTTGTAGTAGCTTAGTTTTTGTAATCATATCTAGTCCTGGGGTATGGGGATGATGCCTCTGGCCTCATATCCTCCTTCAGTTTTCCTCTTTGGCCTGGAACTGACACCAAGACCTCCAGCCTCCTGTAAGTGCCCACAACCAGTGGTGTCTCTGCTCCACTGCTTCTGCACTCACCAGGTGTGTGCTGGTTCTTTCTCCCCCAGCTGCATCTCTGCAGCACAGTTGTGTCTGGCATTCCTTTTCGGATGATATTCCCTTGATCTTCCCCCACTTAGAAGCTCAACTCCCCTCTACTGTCCCAGGGGTAAAAGTTGCTATGGCTGGGTTGAGGCATCCTCTCAACTCAGGTAATACCAGGGCTTAGCCGTTTGTTGAGACATAGGACTTAGCCTGGGAGTGTTTACTTTTAACAGGAATCAAACCTTGGGATTTTTCTTTAGATTTTCTTTGATTGTCCCAGGAAGACTCTTGTTCTGCCCCTACTCTTACTTATTTTTACCACCCTATGTTCACTCTGAGGCACTGTTTCATTTCTTTTGTGGGGGGGGGGGATCTTGAGTGTTTGGAATTTTTTGACTTACTCCATCATCTTTTCAGAATCCTCTCATTTAAATAAAATTTTTAATTGTACTTATCTAAGTCCATTGCCTCACCTATAAAACTGGGGCTTAGACTAGAAGGTCTAATTCTCTCACTTTTTATGGGATAGATATGGGGCAGATAGGTGGCACCATGGATAGAGCACTGGGTCTGGAGTCAGAAAGACCAGAGTTCAAATCTAGCCTAAGACACTAATTAGCTGGGTGATGCTGGGCAAGTCACTTAACCTCTGCTTGCATATAACTAGAGAAGGAAATGGCAAACCACTCCAGTACCTTTGTCTAGAAAACCCCATGGACACAGGATCACAAAGAGTCACAAATGGCTAAACAACTGAACGACAAAAACATGTGGTACAGTGGAGATTGTACTAGATTCAGCAAGATTGGAGTCAGGAAGACCTAGGATCAAATCTTACCTTTGAAACTTACTGTATGACTCATGGCGATTCATTCAATTACCCCTTACCTCACTTTCCTCATCAGTAAAATAAGGGTATTAGATTTGATGACATCTAAGGTCTTTTCCAGCTCTAAATCTATGATTTTGTGCTAATATGTTCATTTGTGGTACCTGTGTATATAAGAGAAAAAGGTGAAAAGAGAAAAGCAGAGAAGGAGAGCAAAAGGCAGAGGTAGAGAAACAGAAGAGAGTGTGAGACAGAAAGACAAATGGAGACTGAGAGACAGAGAGATACAGATTCTTAGATCAGGGTTTTGCATCATTCTGAAAGGCAATGCCACCCAATCTCACTCTGAAACAAGGATCATGGAAACATTTAGCAGAAAGCCAGAGGGAAAGCCTCAGCATTAGGATATCAATCTGTAGGTCCAATATTTTGTTTGCAATGTGTAGTGTAGACTTGGAAGCAGAAGGCCTGGGTTTGAGTCCTGGCTCCACAGTTTACTAGCTGTGTGAGCATCAGTAAATCACTTTGCTTTTTTTTAAAAAATACTTTTTCATTATCTCTGGAAAATGGAGAAAGTAATACCTGTCTGCCTACTCCCATGATTGTTGGGATGATCAAATGAGATCACACATGGAAGAACTTTGTAATTTACGAGGGACTTCAGTAACACAGTAGAATGACATGGAGGATATGACCAGGACTGGTGCAATGAAATGATATGCTTTGTCTCTGAAGGCATCTCCCTTTGG